CACCTACCACCACATACAGCTAATTTTTGTATTTTTAATAGAGATGGGGTTTCACCATGTTGGCCAGGCTGGTCCTGAACTCCTGACGTCAGGTGATCTGACCACCTTGACCTCCCAAAGCACTGGGATTACAGGCATGAGCCTAGGACTCCAATTCTAAAAGCACAGCATAGGACCGTGGTTTCCAACTATCAAAACCCTAGTGCTTATCTACAAAAGGCAGCTCTGGGAGAGAAATCTCTTTACTGCATTTCAAGAACGCTCATAGAAACTTGAATTTCTACCTGACAAAAAGGCTTCAGTCAAGCTACCACACCAGCTATGTGATTAAATGTTTGCTAACTGTGCCAGACCTCGGACAAACCAGACAACACCAGTCTGCTTCTGTCCTTTGTCCTTTTTTCTTCTGGGCTTTTTAAACACACTAGAATCTGCTAGCAAATGACCTAAACTGATATATATCAAGCAGAAAGGAATCAAACTATCAGTTATACAGTCTTTGATTATTAATCTTTTTAAGATAGAGAAATACATTCTCATTTATATTGAAGTTTGGCTGACAAACCCTTTCAAAACACGAAGTACATATTAAAAAAAAAAAAAAATGAATGCCTAAGCCAGGACAGGGCTGAGAACCGCTGGGGGATTTATCCCATACCACCATCAAGGAGGGTCCCCTACTCCCTTTCAAAACAGACCAGGGAACCATCAGAGCAATTCTCGTTTCCTGAACCTCTGTAACATCCTCAATTCTTGATATTTTACAGCAAAAATCCTTAAGCCTCTAAGCAGGGCCACGTGCTTGTACGAGTGCTTGTACATTGTGCAGGGCAGTGAGAGAGGGACGCAGCTACTTCCCTCTCCATAGTTGTGAGTGGAAGTCACATGGCCAGTTGGAAAAGCATCCCAGGGAGAAAGGGAGTGCTTGACTGGCCTGGGGCCTACCGAGCACGACGCCACTACATTGTGACTACTACAGGGGAGACCAGCATTAGACAAGGTCCCACAGTCGTCGCCACCCTTCAACGCCCCTCCTCGCCATGAGCCCTTTTTCAAACTCCTTCATTGTGGTCATCAGACACCTGGGTGCTCTGTACCTCTCTTCTGAGCTCAGCTTAGGCAGGCATCCATGCACCCTGCTAGGAGTTGAGGTCATTTCCTCGATTTACAGATGAGGAAATTGAAGCTTAACATAACACACAGAAGTTCACACGGAGAGGAAGGGGCAGAGCCAGGATCTGTGCCTGAACCATCTGGCCCTAGAGCTGGGCTCTCCTGCCACCCTTGCTGCTGGCTGCCTCTGCCTGCCCTCTCTGCACACCTTTCCTTCTCGGAGCTCCAGCTGGGGCTTGGGTGAGTGCCACTTAGTCTGCACTCAGCTGTTTTCTCATCCCTTCCTGGGAATGAGTTTAATGTCCTCAACAACGAGTGCTCTGAGGTCAGGGGCTAGGTCCTTATTGCATGTCTCAGGGCCTGGAAGTTCAAAGCTCACAGCAGGCACTTGGAAAACATACACGTATAGCAATATCTGCTGCCCCCTCCCCAATTTCCTCTACCCTGTGGAGTGCCATCTTGCGAGTATAAACCTTTGAACCCAGAAACCCACCAGAGTCAGCCGGAGCAGGGCATCATCAAAAGGGAAGCAAAGACAGCATCAAAAGGAATGAACAGAGGGTCTAGTTCTCTACTCCCGACCCTTCTCACCACTTCTCTCCACAGTCTCCCTCCTCAACAACCCACCTAAACCAACCAAACTGAACACCACCACCTCCTCTATCACGGGCACGGTCATTAATGCTCCTCCTATGGGGCTTAGAAAAGGGTGGTAAATCTAGATTCTGTGCCCTGAACCCAGGCACGGTGTTGGACACAGCAGCTGTGCTGCCACTTCCAAGTGTATTTCTAGGAAAAGGCAACACAAGAGACTGTTTTACATGGAGGAGAGCTTGGAAAGCCCAGGAAGCATGGCTGCTGTAAATACAGGTCAGGGTCATCACGTGTAAATATAGCCAGGTTTCGTGACGTGGCTGTCCTCTACGCTCAGTAATCACTCAGAGACCAGAGTTCCTCAGCACTGTCAACTACTCAAGAAAAACAATGCTGAGTGGGCATCTACTGGGGGTGAGGCACGTCTGGGCAAGTATGCCTGGGAATACCCCCGATAGAGGATGATGACAGACAGTCACCCTAGATAGGTAGCTCTCAAATATCTGTGCACAGCTTGTCCACCTTGCAGATGTTTGGTGTCCTCCGTCTAGTGCCTGTCTCAGCTATAGATGGGTTAGAGTTCTCACATAGCCCTTGCTGCTGTGTTGTAAGCAAAATCATTTCCATATTAACTCTGACCAAAATTCAGGAAATTAAACCAGTAGTATAAAAATAGCCATAGGATGAATTCCATGGCTAAGCAGAAATGGTTTGTGGAACAAGCACTTTGTACCTCTGAATCCTGCCTATAATCCTCGTTGAGGGTCAAGTGCAGATTTCTTCCAGTTGCGGTACTATTATTTCTACTTGGAGTTGAAAAGACTCCTCTAAGTCTTCTGGTGCAACAGTTTTTTAGTTTTATTTTAGCGAGAGAGCCTTTACTTCAAAGGAGATCCTATCTGGAAGCTGACATGTAACTTAGATGGACCCCGAGCTGCTGGTGTGAGGGAACTGGGGCCCTGCCAATGGAGCCTGCTCTTCCCTTCCAAAGCTCCCAGGAGTACAAGTGGAAAAACACACATGCACAGCCCCTTCCTAATTGATTCACTCACTCGTTCACAAACAATAATATCTCTTGAGCACCTACTGTGTTCCAGGTGGAGCCAGCAGGTAACAGCACAAAGGCAGCCCCGCTTTTGGTGAGCTCACATGGAGTAGGATGTGGCAAAGCTAAGTTCAGACAGGTTGCAAGTGCTAGGAAGGAACAATGATGTGATCATGGCTGGGAGGTGGCTACTTTGGATGGGGGATCAGAAAGGTCTCTCTGAGGAAGCAAAACACAGTTGAAATCAGAATGATAATCTGGAAAGATGCCCTGATTTGGACCAAAGAGGAAGCAGAACCAGAGAGCTGATGTGACCTTCCCCAGGCAGGGAGCTGAGCCAGGACCTGACCTGGGTTGTCGGCATCTCCCACCCAAGGATCTTTCCTTTTACAAACACTACTAAACAGCAACCACATGCAAAAAAGTCTCAGTGACAGGTGACATTCGAGGCTGGACAAACCACCCAACTACATCCTGGAATTCGGTGCCGTCTGTGCATGACTTTTGATGCCTCCCTCCTTCCTCAGCCCAGTCCAGGGTTGGCCTTGGGTCTGAAGGCACTATAACCCAAGAGACAGAACTCGGTGGTGGACACTCCAGACCTGTGACCTTAGCTGGGAAAGCTTCTTCATCTCCTATCTCCCTGGCTGCAAACTGTGAAGGGTGCTCCTTACCGCTTCATTTGGTGGCATAAAGAGAAAAGCAAGTTGATGGTTATAAACGTCCTGGGCTCATCTGAAAGAGGGCTCTCTGGAAAGTCAAGATGCTCTAGGGAGACCTAAAGATATCAAAGCCAGTTTGCCCCTTGTTCTGTAGCAGGCACTCACACAAGAACTACGGGGAATCACACAGGCCTGTACATATTTTACACACGAGTCCAAAGGTGGGTGTAAAATTCCTATTATGCTGAATATCGTGGGAAGGAGCACACAAATGCCTCCCTCTGGTACCCACAAACCAAACGGCTCTGGACCACCTAAGCACTTGCCAGACCACCAACTTGGCCCCTGTGGGCCAGTAGTGCCCCCTCACCCTAGGAGTCTTAAAGCATTTCCAGGCATTAATTGGAGCCTCCAGTCCCTTGGGAGACAGGTGGGGCCAGCGGTTATTAGTCCCATTTTGCGCACAAAGCAACTGAGCCCCAGATGACCTATCTGTCCAGGGAACAATGCTACTGACACAGTGACAACCATTAAGTTCTGATTCAAACCTGTCTCCAGCCTCTAACTGCTGCTTTCCACTACAATCCAGCTGCCCACAAATCGAACACAGATCATCCACTTTTGACTAACACCACCATCATTCTCTTCTTCATGCTCTCCTGCACACACCCTATGCTCCACAGTGCACTTAGGAGTTTTTCCATAAGCTGCCTCTTCTCTTCACCCCCCACCCCCACACTCACCTCACAATACTTGCTAGGAACTGGAAACCTCTGGAACACTTATTCCTCCTGCACACACAGCAGCTTAGACTCAAGTTAAGATGCTGTCCCACCAACCCCAACTGAGCTGCCTCCCTTTCATACTTTCCAGCCCGTTCACACATGTGCACACTGCACATAACGCTGGTGAAAAGGATACACCCCAGAACCTTCCATGCCTTCTTTCCACATGGAGTCGCCCAACTGCACGTGCAAGGACGGGCACGAAAACACAAGTGACAGGGCCTACACAGCCATGTTGTCACAAATACACAGACGGGCCCAGAACACGGGGACATCCCTGCACAGGCCCTCTGAAAGCAATGTGTACCAGATACAGCAGCTGCCAGCACTTAGCAACCCCTGCGTTGCATGGGGTATGCTGCCAAGGCCTGTCTGCATCTTGCTAAGTCGACTCTGGGTCTGTCATCTTGGTGTACGCACAAGAGGCAGCTACTCGAACTCAGGGTGGACAAAGAATGACATTTTCAAGAGGAACAGACATGCCCCGGGCACGCTGGACAGCACAAGGCCCTCAGAGGCCCAGAGTTCTCTCCCGCAGACTCAGGCGCGTAGTTATGGACGCCGTGCTGCGTGCTCCGTGCAGACACCAATACCTGCTCACATGCCCCGCGAGTGTCCCAGGCATTCCTGCCTCCTCCACTCCTCACCGCCAGCCGGCTTCCCTCTGCCCGCCCGGGGGAAGCTTGGAACAGTCTAGCTCGGGACTGCGGGCGGGGCTGGCAGCGGAGGTGGAGGCGCCTCTCCCAGACCCCCAGCCTCTCCCTTGGCGCCCCCACTTCCCAGGCGCGCTTCTGCACTTACCAGGTCAGGGGCTCCGGACGCGGCGACGGGAGCTGCGCCTAGAGAGGCGGAGAGCGGTGGCTCCCGGGGCCGCCCAGCCGCCCAGCCGCCCACCACCCGCAGCCAACGCTCTTCCCTCCCAGCCCGGGAAGGTCAGCTTGCGGGCAGCACGGCCCGCGCCCCCGCGCCCACGGAGGCTTCCTGCAGGCTTTAGCGTCGCCCCCTCGCCGCCCCGCCCCGCGCTCCGCCGCGACGCCCCGGCGCCGGCTCTCCCAGCCCAGCCGGCAGGACGCGCCCAGGAGCCCCGCACGCTAGCTGCCGGCTCTTTGTTTGGGAGTTTGCCTCTCTGCGATTCAGAGCACGCGGAGGGAATTAAGTCAGAGTTCGAGGCAGCTGGGCGGTTGCCGGGGGCATCCCTGCGGGGGGCGGGGCAAAAGAATCGACTAGGGGGCGGTGGAGCGACTTTCAAACTCCCGCCCTCCGCAGCTCCCCGCTTATGTCCCCCAGCCCTCTACGTTTGTCGGCCCCTGGGAGAGGTTGGCCTTTGGGGGTTTCCAGGGACTCTAGGGACAAGCTTGTCTGATAAGAGAGAGCCTATCCATCCCCCTTCCTCACCACCCCCCATCACTGCCCTGTCCCTGTCAGAGTCCTGTGGAGCATCAGCTTTACATTTCCTGGGCCCCGGGGAGAATCAAGGTCTCTCTAATCAGAAGCAAAAAGGAAGAGCAGGGAGTAGAGTCCATCTGTTCCCGCTGAGCCCTTGTGAAGGTGCAAAGCTGGCCCTAACGGGACCGGCCCTAACAGTGGGGCATGGATTATGTATTTCCCAAAGTAACCAGGGCCTTGTGCTTATCCAACCGTGTTCTTTTGAAACTTAGCTGCAGTGAGGAAGATTACCCATTTACCAGGTTGCTAGGCCAGGGAAGCCACTGGAGGCAGGGAACGCTGACAAAGCCACTGCACCGGGAGCACCAGCGTTCTAAATACCCCAGCTGACTGCTGAGAGGGGCTTCGCAGAGGGGCCACCCGGGAAGGAGATGATTCCAATAGTCCGGTGAGATAAGACTTTAACTGGGGGATGAATGCGGAAGCTGCAGCAAAGGAGAGTCTACAGAGTGTGTGGTGCAGGAGGCGCACACTGGGGCTGTAACATTGTGGAAGTCTGGAGGAGCACCTGGAGTGATGTGACTGGGTTTAGTGTGGGGCAAGTTGGATTGGAGAAGCAGGCCACCTTCTTCCAGGGGCAGATATCCAGCAAATGCAATTGGAAAGGTGATTCTGGAGTTCACAGGAGAGGCTGTGAATTTTGGAATCATCTGGAAAGAAGTTGGAGGTGGAGGGAGAGGGTAGAAAAGGTAGAGAGAACAGGGCTGAAGACAGAACCTAGGTCTACCTAGAAGGAGCCCATGAGAGGAACGGAAACCATCAGGAGAAACCATGAGGGAGGGTCAGGACTGTGCAGGGTGACAGGACTCAGGAGAAGAGGGACGTTCAGTGGGGGCCCGGGCTGCAGGGACACCAAGGAGGAGGGCGCCCCCAAAAAACTGGTTTAGATTTAGAAATTAGGAGATCGCTGGGTTAGTTCAAGATACCTATTTGAGTGGTGGGTTTTATAAACCGGGTTGCCACTCCTTGGGGGTGCATCTGTATCTCGGATCCAATTGGTTGATGGGGAGATACAAAGGTTCACCTCTTTGCTTCCATTATGGAGGGCCCTGAAGGGCCACCCCAGCTCCATAACTTCCCAAAGGATCCGCCGAGGCCTCTGTGGAAAACGGCACAGTTCAAGTTCATTCTCTGCCGAATCCTGTTTCCCTCACTCTCTCAAGGTGTTGTTCCCAAGAGTACCTCCCAGGAGACCTCCCGCATACCACCTCCATCTCTGTGCAGAGTCTGTTTCCTAGAAATCCATTCGGAGGTACAGGGACACTGAGAAAGGGCGCGGGAAACAAAGAAAAGGTGGGACTGAGAGGTCAAGCAGCGACAGTGGGAGGGAGGCCTGAATGAGCACAGGCCCCGAGGCCGCTCCCTTTGGCCTCTGAGGGAGCCGTTTAAACAGACAGGGATGGTCAGAAAAACTCAGAGAAGGTGGTGTGAAGGAAAGAGCCTGGGGAATGGGGAGTGAAGGGGAAGCTTATTCGTAGTAGAAGATGGATTTTCAAAAGCCAGAAGTAAGAAAGAAGAGTGGAGTAGGCCCAAGGAGGGGAGGAATGCTGGAAGAGGGTAAGGGTGAGGGGAAGTCAGTATTCACCAAAGTTAATAACATTGAAACAGCAATGAGGAAAGAGAGGGTTGGAAAACGCCTAGAGTGACTTTTTTAGCAGTAGGAGAGGGTGAGTGATGAATGAAGCTCTGGGCTAGGGTATTCCCTCTCTAGTAGTATCCCCAGTAACATTAAACGTCTACAGTGGAGAACCGATGGAAATATAATATGTCGTTAAAAATTTTCTGTGAGCCACGTTTAAAAATGAATATAAAGAAACAGGTGGAAGTAATTGTAATGATATATTTTATTTAACACAGTATATCTAAAATATCATTTCAACGTGTGTCAATATGAAAAATTAACGATAAGATATTTTACATTTTTTCCTACTAAGTCTTCCAACTCTGGTTATATTTTATGTGTATTGCACATTTACATTCAGACACTACATTTTCATTGGAAATATTCAATGTGTATTTAGATTTCATAACATTTATGGTTGAGGAAATAGATTTACAAGCCTACGTTGCCACATACATAATTATGCTTTCCAACAATAGAATCAAATGATCGATTTTTAAATTTATGTTAATTAAAATTAAATAAAATAGAGAATCCAGCCCTTCAGTTGCATGTGGCACATCTCGAGTGCTCAGTAACCGCACGGGGGTAGCGGCTACCATATCAGAACACACAGGCCTAGAATTCTAATTCCTAGACTTTTGATTTTGGCTTTCTTTTGTCCTCACCTTTTTTGAACGAATGGACCTCTTCTCCTACCAGCATTGCACCGCTAACAAGATCCTAACCTATTCCATCTTATTTCACAAAACATACTTGAAGAAGGCGAGGGGGAAGATTGAGAATCTACCATCTAGGAAAACAGAGATGGGAATTCAGCTTGGACTGGAAAAGATATGAGGAAGATGAGATAGGAGTTGGAAGTATTCCATTTTGATTCTTATTCTGTGGTTGTATGAGGAGGGAGGATTCTCTACCAGGCTGGGTACTCCAGAGATAGAATGGATGGTTCTGTGAGAATGAACAGGACAACTCCTGTTTGTGCAGGCTCCCATTTTAGCAGCTTCCCATGAGCATGGAGCGTTGGTTGAGTCACAAACACTAGGATGTGGCTAAGTCTGGGTCCTGTGTTTCCTGCATTAGCAAAATGGGGAGGGTAATCCCTTATTTGGAAAAAAAAAATGGAAGGGGCTAAGTGAAATCCCCCAAAGGAGAGTTTGGATCCCAGATCTGGAGACCTATGCCTCCACTATCGTTTGGATATGGTTTGTTTGTCCCCTCCAAGTCTCATGTTGAAATTTACTCCCCAGTGTTGGAGGTGGGGCCTGGTAGGAGGTGTTCGAGTCATGGGGGTGGATCCCTCATGAATGGCTTGGTGCCATTCTTGCAAGAGTGAGTTATTGCTGTTAGTTCCTGTGATAACTGGTTGTTGAAAAGAGCCTGGCACCTCCTCCACACTCTGCCACCTCTCCCAACTTGTGATCTGCATATGCGGCTCCCCTTCACCAACCCCCATGAGTGGAAGCTTCCTGAGGCCCTTGTCAGAAGCAGATGTTATCACCATGCTTCCTGTACAGCCAGTAGAACCATGAGCCAAAGAAAGTCCTTTTCTTTATAAACTACCCAGCCTCAGATATTCCTTTATAGCAACACAAATTGACTAAGACGGCCCCATATTCAGGCCTGTAGCTTATCTTCTGTCCCCAGCGGGGTGCTGGCAGCTTCTGCTTTTAGGCCATGCTCTGGCACCATTTCCCTGCCTTTGTGTCTGATAGGGAGATCTGTCAATGGATGCAGTAGTAATGGAGTTTGTAGAGACTCCTTTAGAAATTTGGGAAAAAAACCCCCCAAAAACCAACTTAGACTTCCTTGTTTGTGATCTGAAATGACCTACATCTGTTGTAACTGGGTGATATAGTGTAGATCTTGTGAGACCCTGCTCCATGCCAGCACAGGGCCTGATAGCCTCTCTACCCAACAACAGTATCTATATCCATTCCTAGAAATGGAGTCATAGAAAATACCATCTTTTGTTTTGTGGGTGGCTACACACACACGCACGCGCACACACACACACACACACACACACATGACAGTGAGGAGAATGTTCTGTTATTGTTGGCATCCCTAGAATATATGGCACGTTAACCTGGCATTCAGGTTGTACAGTAAACCCTCATAGGTCAGGAACTGTAAAACTTGCTTTTCTCCGTCCTCTGAGCGTACGCTTGTCTTTCAAAAGAAGTTCTAGTCACTACCTAGGAGGGTTGCAAGGAAATGAAGCTACTTCTGCCTCCCTGACATCCATGCTTGGTTAAGCTGCTGTCCTGATATGGCCCTAATGTGTACTCTTTGTATAAACTCCTGACTGGGCCATTCTGAGGAAGATCAGCTAGGTTCTTGGAGATATTAATAGAAAACATTCCCTTCAGGATACACATCAGAGACAGCTGGTCTGACTCAGCCTGCTTCTCTATCTTTAAAATGGGGAGAAACTCCTCCTAAGATTCTTTCTACTCTCTTAGAAAGTGAAAACTCGCCTTAGTTTTTTAATCCATGTGAAAAATAGAGCTAAAAAGCCTTTTGTTAGCATCTGTCTTTCTTCTAGAAGGACTGAGGAATGACCAGATGTTAAATATTGATCAGTTAGGCTTAGCTTTAATTCCGCCTGCATTTGGCTGTGAACTTGATGACTGACCCTGACGATTTTTGCAATAATATCTGGTGCTTAATAGGTAAAGAAATGACTGCGGAATTGAACCTCACAGCCTCAGGTATAATTCCCATGAGAAAGATGTTACAAGTAGGAATTTTTCAACTGTTTTCAGGCATACTTCCAATCACACCAAGAACATTAGTTGCACTAATTAGTGCTTGAAATATTGATCTTCATTAGCAGTGTCAAAAGCATTGTTCCAATATCCGTGCTCTCTTGGCATTCTACATGAAGGAGCTTACAGCTTGGTTCTTTCCCGGGAGAACATTAGTGAGGGCAAAACAGAAAAACGTATGTAGTATACAGGAAACATAAGTAGAGACAGCCGAGCAAATATAGAAATAACATACAAAATGACAATTACTTACAGCTGGATTTTTTTTTCTACATGTAGCACACTGCTAATCCTCTCTCATCTTCTCCAAGAAGCTTTCTAAAGCCTGCTTCTGTAAGGACACAGGTTTTCTGGACCCAAAGTCACATACTGGGAAGGAAGAGAAGCTTTTGGGTAAACATCATGAATTTCCCTGGAGCAACTATTCTATTTAAGATTTTATCTAAGATTTTTTAGAAAGAAGGGAATAGGTTTAAAAAAATAATTTCAAAAGTGTAACATCTATCTATGCTCATTTTAGACAATTTGATCAGTATAAAATATTAAATAAGAAAGTAAAAACCACT